TTGATAGTGATAGGACAAGGGAGAATGATCTTAAACTGAGGCAGGGGAGGTTTAGGTTGTAGATATTAGGAGGCAGTTTTTTTCACAGAGGGTGGTGACGCACTGCAAAAGGTTGACTAAGGAGGCTGTGGATGCCTCTTCCCTGGAGGCATTCAAGGCCAGGCTGGATGTGGCTCTGGGCAGCCTGGTCTGGTGGTTGGCAACCCTGCACATAGCAGGGGAGCTGAAACTAGATGATTTTTGAGGTCCTTTTCAACCCAGACCATTCTACGATTTTAAGAAAACTAAAAATTAAAAACTAGCAATTTTTCACCATCATCAACTACACAGTTACTTAACTCACTGAGAGTTCTTGTCTCTGTTTAACAGAAAAAATGACCCCGTAAAGGATTTTTCTCCTCTGATTTTCTACGAATCTGTGATGATATCAGCAGTGCCCAGCAAGGACAGTTCTAAGTGCTTTGAAATTGGTTTGACTTTCAATCAGCTTAAAAGGGCCTCAGTTATGCCCTTTTGCTCTTATTTTTGAGGTAGTCTTCATTTAAATTATGGAAGCGTGAAGACAACAGCAGGGAGATATGTTCCTGGTGAATTTTAATCATGGCAAATCTTTCCTAAAAATTTGAATTAATTGTTATTAATGAAAGCTCTCAAAAATACAATTATTTAATTGATTAATAGGAATACATTTACAGGGTCTATTTGAGACAATGATAGAACCATTCACAGTGACATTTTAATCTATGATAAAACCCAAAGACTTAATTCTAGGTGTATTTGTGGCTGGAGTCACAAAGTCGTATGAACAAAAGATACAAGACCTAGTCCATAATTATTCATTAATTTTGTCCATGGTAAAACATAGCAAACAGGAAAGTTCAGTACTGTCACAGTCTATGTGGTATCATGCCAATATCTATCGTACTGCAACCAGTACAGTATAGTTGAGAGAAATGTTGAGCAATGAAGAAAATTTTGCATCAAGTAGATGCAAATTTTCCTAGCATGTTAAAGATGTGTTTTACAAGAAATCCTGGAAGCCTGATTTGATGTTAGTCTCATACAGATAAATATCAACCCATATTCCAGCGATACTCAAAATCAATCAGTGTTCTGCTTAGTAACGCATGACCCATAGAGTTCTAAAAGTCAGTGCAAAATATATAGGTCCTTTCACCAGCGTAGATCAGAGTCTGAATTTCCTCTTCAGAGGAAGAAGAGTGTAGAGAAATTCTATAACAGGAAAAGCCTTGTATCCTTCCTCAGACCATCCGACACATTGCGCTGGGGAAGAATAACAAATTTGCAGGTTGGATAAGTGCGTATATATGATAGAACTTACACATACACATATGCAAACACAAACAACATATGCAATGGACTAATGGACTGTGCTAATCTAATATCTTCTGGATTATTCACTTGAAGATCATTGACTTTATATATATTCACTTGCTTAGCAGATCCCCCATCTGGTAGTAAAGGTAGAAAAAGAACAGAGGGTGGAACTGGATGTGGCTGTGGGCAGCGTGGTCTAGTAGTTGGTGACCCTGCTCATAGCAGTGGGGTTGAAACTAGACGATCTTTGAGGTCCTTTTCAAACCAGGCCATTCAATGATTCCATGATTCCATGATCTTGAGGGAGGTGGGAGGCAAATGGATGAGGCCAGGCTCTTCTCGATTGTGTGTAGCGATAGCACAAAGAGTAATGGCCTAAAGCTTGTACATAGGAAGTTCCGTTCTAACATGCGGGACTTTTTTACGGTAAGGGTGATGGAGCACTGGAACAGGGATTTCCTGCTATGGAGATATTTAAGGCCCATTTGGACAGCTAGCTATGCAACCTGTCGTAGGGCTCCTGCTTTAGTAGAAAGGTTGGACTCAATGATCTCTCGAGGCCTTTTCCAGCCCCCGTGTTTCTGTGATTTCCCCGTTTCCCTTTGCTGCGGTCACCCACAGTCCCCAGGAGATATTTAAGGCCCATTTCAGCGAACGCCAACTGGAATGGAAGCTGGTAACTGGTGGCCGACTGCATCGTCTCCCTCCTTCTGGTTTACAAGTTTTGTCTCTCTGGCACTGAGGGCCCCTTCTGACAGAGTGGGTTGTCCCTGTCTTCAGAGGCAGTCCTTCTCCTAAGGTGGCCACAGAGTGCCACAGCCCTTGTTCAGCTTCAGGCTGTGTCACGGCACAGCTCTGAAATAGGTGGGAAAGTTCTGTGCTGCAGAACACTGTGGCAAGCCTTCTCTCTGCCTATCACTGCTGCTGAGACCTTCCTTTTGCCTTAGAAAAGAGATTGCCTCTGCCAAATCCATCCTCTGCAATTAGCACGTGGTTCTTGTGATTTCTCTCTCATACAATCTCAGAATCATACAGGTAGGAAGGAAACTCTGGAGAACATTGAGACCAACCCCCCTGCTAAAAGCAGAGTTCCCTACTCCAGGAGGGTGAGCAGAATAGATTCCTGGATCACCCCCCTTTTGCTGCTGGACACACTCTTTTTAACACGCCCCAGGAAACCATTGGCCTTCTTGGCCGCAAGGGCACACTGCTGCTGGCTCATGGCCAGCCTGCTGTCCATTGGGACACACAGGTCCTTCTCTGCAGAGCTCCTCTCCTGCAGGTCAGCCCCTAGCACAAAAAGTACACAGCTGTGCTTTCTGTTTTGATACAGAATTAGAGAATAGGTCTCAGGATTGCCAAAAATTCATCTTTTTTTGTTGTTGTTTCTTTGCAGCTGCATTTTCTGTTGACATTAGTGGCCAATTTTCAAACGGAGCATGTAGAGCTGCGGTCTGAAGTCTGAACTCTTTATAAAACAATAAAAAATAAAAAATTAAAACAAGTTTTGTTACTTAATATAGTATGTGATACATTTTCTGAGGGCTGCTCCTGCTCCAAAAGTAATGCCTCTCATTGTATTGTGTTGGTTCATGACACCAGAGGCGGTTGGTGGTGTGGCAGTAGGCATCAAATCTTCTCACCAATATTCCATGACGTGTTATTGCTGTGTAACAGATGGCAGCAGAGGGGCAGTCTGACACAATGGGTCTGACATGGAAGTGCACATGAAGCAGAGGCGTGACGCTGAACTCCACGTGGACAAGATGTCAGCCACTGACACTCACTGACACACACAGAACACTGAAGAAGACCAAGCAGTGGATGTGAGCGCAGTGAGGCAATGGGCAGTGGCAACAGCAATAGTAGGTCACCTTTGCTGGTGCAGATTGCTACAAGCACGGCATGCAGGCTCTTCATCACTGGTGAAAAGCGTCATGGTGATGACACTTTTGTAGCTGAGAACGTGAAGAGGTTTCAAGAGGGATTACAGCTTTACTGTGTGGGACTGATTCCAAAGTGAGTTGAAGCAGGATTTCTTTCCAAAAGTCTGACAGCCTGTATCTGGATGGCATATATGCTGGCAGTAAGGGGCTGCGTGGCCCTGGGCAGCTGGGAGCAAGTCTGAGCCTACCTGACACTGGGCACATGCACTCACAAACAGGTGTGCACGTGCGCATGCATGCGGACACACACGCAGACACACACACACGACTGCTGTGGTGACAAAAGGTATGGAGAAGGTGATATTACTGAACGCCTTCTCTGTCCGTCTGTACTGCGGGAGGCTGTGGTCAGTGGGACAGAGCAAGTCTAGTTGGAGGCCTGTATCTAATGGAGTCCCTCAAGGGTCGGTGCTGGGACCAGTACTATTCACTATATTCATCAATGACTTGCATGAGGGAGTGCACTGTTAGCAAGCTTGGTGAGGACACAAAACTGGGAGGAGTGGCTGACATGCTAGAAGGCTGAGCTGCCACCCAGCGAGGCCTAAACAGGCTGGAGAATTGGGAGAAATTTCATGAAATACAACAAGGGCAAGCGTAGAGACTTGTATCTGGGTAAGAACAACCCCAGGTACCAGTACAGTTTTTGCTCTTCTGCTCTTTTCTCTTTTCTTCTCTTCCTCCCCTCCCCTCCCCTCCTCTTCCTCTCCTTTTTCTTTTGCGCGTGTGTCTTCTTTTTTCCCTCCTGATTCACTGTAATTGCATTTTCTTTGTAAACTATTAAGTTATGAGTATGGGTCTCTAGATTGTAAAACTTATATTTCAGTACAACTGTTTCCTTCGTTTTCTTTCCCTTCTCCCCTCCCCTCCTCTCCTTTCCCCTTCCCTCCACTCCTCTACCTCCCCTCCCCTCTCCTCCCCTCCTGTCATATCCCCTCCCTCCTTTTCTCCTTCTCCTTCTGTCATGGTTTTATGATTTTGGTCATCAGTATTCCACACCATAACATCATGTAATGCACTGGGGGTGGGGTTGGATATCTGCCGAATGTTCGTCCGACGGAGAAGAACTACATTTCCCCAGGAGGCCTTGAGGTCAGCAAGGAGATTTAACTCCGTGCAAGGTCACCTGATCCTTCTTCTTCGCCTGCGCTTCGCCGTCTGCGCTTCGCCAGCTGCACTTCGCCATCTATTCTTCTTCAGTCACTCAACTGGACTGCACTTCTCACCCCAGCATTGTGGTGAGGTCTATCTACCATCTAGACAGAATCTCTCTCTCTCTTTGTATTTTGATAATACTATATTTAGTAAATCATTTTATTGTTCCACCTCAGATTATTGCTGTTGTTTTCAAGTATTTTTTGGGTCCCCTGTTTCCCCTTTCCCAGAGGCGTGGATCCGCAGATCACTACGCCCTGCTGGTCATGGAACTGGGCCGAACCAGCCCGTAAACCGTTGACACCTTCTCCTTCTCCTCCTCCTTCTCTCCTCTTCCTCCTCCTCCTCCTCCTCGTCCGCCTCCTCCTCCTCCTCCTCCTCTTCCTCCTCCTCCTCCTCCTCCTCCTCCTCCTCCTCCTCCTCCTCGTCCGCCTCCTCCTCCTCCTCCTCCTCCTCCTCCTCCTCCTCCTCCTCCTCCTCCTCGTCCACCTCCTCCTCCTCGTCCGCCTCCTCCTCCTCCTCCTCCTCCTCCTCATCCTCCTCTTCCTCCTCCTCCTTCTCCTTTTCTTCTCTTCCCTCCCCTTCTCAGATTTGCTTTGCTTCGCTTCGCTTTCTTCTACCGCCTCCACCTTTTCAGACAAAACTCTCTGATTCTCCTCCATGTATCGCTAGAAAAAGGAAAGTGTCAAGTCATGACTGAGTAATTTTCTCCTCAAAAAGACTTTGAGAGGAAAAAAGAAAAGCTGCTTCCTCCCAGGATCCCTCTGGCAGAGGCAAGCAGCAACAACAAAGGCAGGAGTGCTGATACCTGTCGGTGGGCCCAAGCAACCGGGAGAAATTGTCAATCGCCACCTCCGTGTGACAGCGGGTGAGGATGACCACCGCCTGGCACACGAAGGGCATGAACATGCTCTGCTGTGTGGATGATGTGCAGCTCCGCAGGACGTAGAGGATCAGTGGCACCTGAAAGAAGAAGGGGAGAAAGAACAATTTGCAGGGAGTGACCATGGACGTTCAGCAGATGAGCAGTGCCTGCTCCCTTGACGTACTGCCAAAGCCTAAGACTAAATTTCACACCAGCAACCTTGTCCAAGCCCTGGCTCTGTGCTCAGACTGTGTTTCTTTAGCACAAGAGGCAAATGGCACAAGGCATAGCGCAACAGCAAGAAAAAATCCAAGACGTGTGGAAGAAAGTCTCTTACGTCTCGACAGATGTCCTTTCTGTACATCTGCAGAAAGGTGATCATCCACTGTCCAGCAGCACGCACACGCATTCCTTTGGCCTTTCGGAAGGTCTCCTTGATGGCCATCAAGAAGTCGATGGTGCGTTCCATGGGGAAGTTTCTGCACACCATCTGCAGACAAATGAGAAGGAAGAGATCCCATCACTGGTCTGCGGCAGGTCTTCAAAACATAAGCCAATCTTGAGGGCATTCTTAGTTCAGCAGCCTGCTGGTCACTCAGGCAGCAATCACAATGCTCCTGCTGTCCGTACCCTGCTACTTACACAGAAGGCGGCTGAGCCTTCTCTCAGCTTCTCCACCTATGGTGTTTGCCTATATGCAAAGCCTACCTCCCAGCAGCCACAATCACACACACACACAAGCACACATCATAGAGTCAGCTCCTTGCACTGGGTGCCTGAAGGACAGACATAGCTCAGAGCCTCCTGATACTTGCTGGAGAAGAGTGCTCTCAGGTTGACAGCTCATTCTGGCAATGGTGTGAGAGGCTGTGGGGAGCAGAAGGGCGTGCAGAAGCCTACACACTGAGATCCCACCACCCCACTTTGGGTCCACTTACCCTTGCGATTTTGCACGAGGCCCGGAGTTGACCGACTGTGCTGCAGGCGTGCAGCCCCTCACACAGGCTCCCAGGGTCTCCCATCTCGACTACTCTGTTGGTCACCTTGGCTGGAAAGAGCACAAGGAGAAAAGGGAAGTCGGTAATGCTTCTGGAAACAGAACTGCTTTCCAGGGAGAGAGACAGAGGGCAGGATGGGGACGAGAAGAGAGCTGCGCACGGTGCCTCTCTCTCCTGTCAACAGGGCCCAGCCCGTGGGCTTCTGCTAGTGCTGCAGAGGAGAGCAGAGGGCTGGTGCACACCCGCTCTACTTGCCTTGGATTCGGAGAAGGGAGCTCAGGCAGGTGACAGCCAACTGGCGGGAGGTGGGCATGGGGTCACACGTTAGAGGCGCCAGAAATCCCACCAGGGAGCCAAAGTGCTGGCAGGCATCTTCTCTCTGCAGGGATGAGAGGCAGGAACAAAGCTGTAGGCAGCCCCAGCTCTCCCTAGCTTCTCCCACCGGTGCCTTCCCCACGTGGCGGGTGACACAGCACACACAGCAGGGGAAAGCTGGCCTTCCAGCTCAGGGGCAGTGGAGAGGGAGCAGGGGGCGTGCGGTGGGGCTCTTTACTCACTCGAAGCTCTTCACATACAGCCAGCAGCTGGGAGCAGACCTGCAGGGCCCTCCTGCGCTCCCACACGTTGCCTGATGTCATTGGTCTCCTCAGGACCTGCAACAGAGCACCTGTCTCACTGCGGACGGCCTTTCTTTCCCTTCCTGCCATCCCTCTCTCTGTCCCTCCTTTCCCGGCACTTTCCCTCAGGGCCTGCCCTGTGCTCCACGCGGCCGCCTGCCTCACTGAGCACCAGCACTGCTGCCCCTGCTCTCTGCAGACGCTCCTGTCTCCTAAGCCAGCAGCTTTTCCTCAGCTGTGGCCTGCCAGGGGCTGGCTCCTGCCTTTCCCCCTGCACAGCCCATTTCTCTGCCCATTTCTGAGCTTGCAGTGAGCTGGCACGGCAGCAAGTGATTTCTCCCGCTCTGAACGTCCTCTCTGTCCCCAGATCTCTGTCCCCACTATCGACAGGCACTGTGTTTTCTCCCTTGCCCCACATGTACTCACATGGATTATGTTCTGGAAGAAGTCACGGGTGGGCTCTGTCTCAAGCAGGGCTGCCATCATCCGGCCCAGAGCTTTCAAAGATGCATGCAGAAGCTGAAAGCAGAAGAGGGGATTGAGTGAGGTGTGGCATCACGGTTGCTGCCAGAGCATAGGCTGTGTGTGCTGAGGTAGGGTTCCCACCGAGAGGTGGCTCGGAAAGTTACGACAGCTTACCTGAAGGTACCGAGCTGCTTGCTGTGACTTCCTGATCTTCAGCATCATCTTTGCTGAAGGGTAAGTCACAATGCTCCTGCAGCACAGAGCCAACATTTCACACATGTCCTTTGCTTCTCCCGAGGGCTTCAGCTTGCTGACAGGAGGAAAAGGGGAAGAGAAAGCAGAAAGGGCCTTTACCGGTGCTCTCCAGACTGGTTCAGACAAAACCTGAGTTTCTCCTAATCGACAGCTGCAAAGCCAACACCCCCAGCCCATGCTGCTGAGCACTGTCTTCAGTTCCAGCAGTGCCTGCCTCCTCCCTGGCAGCAGTGAACCACCTCCCACTCTGAAGGGAAGGAGACCCCAGGTCTCTCTTCTCTTCCCTGCCAGGAGACAGGAGGACCAGGGCTTTTCTCCCTGCCCAGAACCGCAGCTCTGCTGGGCACAGCAGCCCAGCATCCTGTAGATGCGGCTCCTCACCCCCTCCAGGCCTTCAGGAGCTACCCACAAGGTCCTGCCTTACAATCCCAGAGGCTCCAGCCCTTACCTCAACTCCTCCAGGGCCAGAACCACCTTGAGGGGCACTGGGGAGACAGGGATGCCTGAGTGATACCTCTTCAGCAAGTCCTGCAAGTCCCAGAGAGATACAGTCAAAGTGGGCAAGGGGCACGCGAGAGCTCTTCCTCCCAGCCCAGTGACAGACACAACTGCCACACACCAGCCCCATCACTCCCACGTTTCCCACGGAGGCGTGGCAGGATGCAGCAGCTCCACAGCTGGTGGACCTAGACTGCTGCTCAGCCGCTGCCTGCCAGCACCAAAGGTCCCCACCAGCTGGAAATGTGTGGCTGAGGGAGACCTGTTTGCCTCCACGGAAGCAAGCCTCGTGTCACAGCCCAATACTGCACTGCAGACAGCCCTGGCTCTAAGCACTCACCATCAGGATCTCCAGCAGCTTGCCCTTCAAGGACAGATTAAAGCAGTCACCCACAGCGTGGAAGGCAGAGCTGAAGTTGGTGATGCTCTGCACCAGCGCGAGCTTGTTCTGCAAGTCCTGAGGCCCAAGAGAGAAGAACATTCTTTGAACTGCAGGAAGGGACAAGGGATGCAAGGGGGACGCGTGGGGGCAGCACTAAGGGAAGGGCTTGGATCTTCAGCTGGCCACAAACTGTTCCCCGTGGGGCCTTTGAAAGAGAAGGCCCATCTCAGCATCCCTCCACATGGAAGGGCTGCAGCTGGGCACTCAGACACCCTGGCACGCTTTGAGCTCTCACCTGGCAGCTGCAGCTGTAGAGCAGCAGGATGTTGCCCACAATGTCTCCCTCCACGTGGGCGAGCAGTTCTTCCTTGGAGGCACACAGTGCTAAGCTGCCATGGGCGAGCACGAGAGCGCTGCGTGTGGCGTGAGCTCTCGTGCTGTCCAGCTCCATCTGTGTGGGGAGAAGCAAATGCCTTGAGACACTTGCCCAATGGCCCCAGTGCCCCACAGTGCACCTGAGCTCCCAAGGCAGGAGCTGCTGTGAACACAAGGCGGAAGAAAGCCAACATGGAAACCCCGTAATGCTTCACCTTCTTGTGCCTGGAAATCCTAGAATTTCGGCCCTTGCACAGCCTGGACGAAAACATGGTGAGCGTGTCCAAGACTGCACGGAAGTTGCTCTCAGCAGCATGGCTGAGAAGAGAGATCATTCCCTGCACAAAAGAACAAGGGGCAGTTGGTGCAGGTCTGAACCCACTGGCGCGGCCAGCCACGCTAGCCAGGCCCATCCTTGCCTGAGGGAAATGGCAGCAGCGAGGAGATGGAAAGGGCCAGAAGCCCTTTGTCCCAGGGACAGAGTGGGGACGCTCGCAGAAGCTGGAGGAGAGGAGAGCTCACCTGGGCCTCAGATGGTTCCTCTGCGTTTGCTTCCTGCAGGTGTTGCAGCAGTTTCTCTTGGATATGGAGGACTCCCTTACAAGCTCCCAGCACTGTCCCCAGAGCCTTGTACAGGAAGGACTGCATGGGAAGGGAAGGAAGAAGCTGAGATGTGGCAGCAGCCTGACCTGCTCAGACAGAGCCAGGTGGGAAGGACCCACACTCTCAGGGAATCGCTGAGAGCAGCTGCAGGGCTGAGCTTTAGCCAGCCCCCAGGCACTTGGCAGCAAAAGGCTCCCTGGGGGGCACGGGCTGGGGAAGCAGCCCGCGTGGGCAGAGCACCGCCTGCAGCCCCAGCCCCAGTTGGGCACCTGCGGCTGCACCGCTGGGTAGAGCTGGGGGGAACTCACCTTTTCTCCAGAGCTGCTGGGAGAGCTGCTCAGGTACCGGCTCAGCTCACAGCTCAGGCCCTTGGTCCAAGCCTCGTCCTCCACCGTCTCCACTGACGCCCTCAGCAACTGTTGGAGAACAGGAGAAGCCAATGTTCCCTTGCCCTTTGTTTCTTCCCGCATTCCCAACTTGCTGCAGCCTTCTGGGGAGAGGTGTCTGGAAAAACAGTCCCCCTCCCAGCTCCCCCCGGTGTTTCTCCTTGAGGGGCTCCTTGAGGCAGGCAAGCCCTTCCCTGTACCGTGCCTCCTAGCAGTGCTGTACCTTTAGCAGTCGGCGCTCCCACGCTGCAGAATCTGGGAAGCTCTCTTCTTTCCCTGCACAGCAATAGGAAGCAAAAGAGCCTTGCTTGGGATCAAGCCACAGAAGAAGAGCTGCTGCAAACCCGGCTTGGCCCAGGCACTCGGCACCGCCAAGCTGGGACCTGCACCCCCCCACCCCCCCCCCAGTGACCTGGCCCTCCTCACAAACACTGTCCCCGCAGGGACACAGAACTAACTGCTCCAAGACTGCTGTCGGAGGGGATGTGACATGCCCATCTGTGCCCTGGAATGGGCAGATTTCTGGGGGAAAACTCCCCGGGCCTCAGCACTGTCTCCCTGGAATGGCAACAGCAGCAGACCTGCATTTTCACTCCACCCCTTCTCTGCCTCCACCTCTCCCTCTCCACCAGCACTTTACCTTGGACACACTGCAGCAGCAGGGGGATCTCTGCATCCCACATGGCCCCCAGTGCTCTGTGGATCCTGCTGTGGAGCTTTTGCATGAGCACTAAGGCAGCGGCTTGCAGTTCGCTGCCTGCAACAGGGCTCCCTGCCACCACCTGAGCGAGAGCAAGGAGAAGCAGGGTTACTGCTGCAGCAAGAGCGGCGGCGGCTTCCCCCGGGAGGGAAGCAGCTTGGCTCTGCCCTGATGGGCAAGGAGCAGCCAACAGCTTTGCCCATAGCCATGCTGCTTCTTCCTCGGGGCTTGTGGCACTGGCCTCTGGAGCATCTACTCACCAACAGGCGCACCAGCAGTGTCTGGGGAGTCAGCCATGGGCCTGCGGGGAGAAAGAAGTACTGAGTAAGACTCCGAGGCACGCCGTGCCCTGCCACACATCCCTCCGCTGTCCCTTCTGGGTGCTAACACAGGTCAGCAGAGCTCACTGGGGGAGTTCTGCTCCTACCTCGAAACATGGAGCTGAGGAAATGGGGATCCAACTCTTCAATCTCCCGCCTTGTCAGTTCCTCTCTCTCAGCCAGTGCTTGGACACAGCGGGAGACCGGGATCAGCATGCCCGTGTATTGGGCTGGCACCACAAAGAGCAGCAGCCGCGGCCACAGGAGCTGTAGGGAACAAGGCATGTCAGCATTCCTGCCTACGCTCAGAGGTGAACGGGACTCTGTGAATTTCCTTGAGCCTTGTGTGCTGTGTCTTGTGAGCGCGTTGGAGGAGAGACCTGGGGCCTGGGGTGTTGGAATGGGACGAGGAACACGTGGTGCAAAGGCAAGGAGCAGCAGCAGGGCAGAATGTGACTTACTTTGGACATCCCTCTCACGGAGACATCCAGTGACCCCAGGATGTCCATGCACAGCTGTTGGAGAGCTCCTTCTTCCTGAGCTTCCTGGGCAGAAAGGTCTCCGGCTGCCTGCACAACAGTATTGTTGAAACAAGGGTTACTCTCAGTTCTCAGCAGCCTCTCAAGAGGTTCAGATGTTGCCCCACCGGTGCTTCTGTGCCAGCCTCTGAGCAGCACAGGTCTCCCAAAAGAAGATGCTGCCCACTGTCCTTACCCTTCTTCCCGTGGCGCGGCTGAACTCTCTGAAGATGTGCCCCACCACATCCCAAGCTGAGCAGCTCCGGGTGTCAGCACTGAGGAGATCCTTGATGAAATACAGAATGGCCCTCCGCACCTGCCAGGGGTCAATTGTGTGTGATTTTCCTGGTCAGAAGGCAAAGGGAAGCCACCTGCTCATCGGGACAGCCCTTTGGGCAGGGGCAGAGAAAACAAGAGCAGGGGAGAAGCCTTGGCTCCTGACGTGAGGGCCAGGCCTTAGCACCAGCGTGCTGTGTGCTTTCCATGCGCAGCACAGGGACCTGCCCGCTCCACTCCTCCTGCTCTCCCCACAGAAGCCATTGCGACCATGTGGTTAATGCCCCAGCACCTCCCTGGTCACCCCAGCCCTGCCCGTGTTGGCAGCAGCATCCCCACCCCAAAAGCGCTTTCCATTCCCAAACCAGCTCACCCGGAGCCTGAGGTCGCTGCACAGACGCTGCACAGCCTCCGCAGCCAGGGGCAGCTTCTCTGTAACAACGGGCTCTGCAAGAGAAGCACAGAAGCGTGCGTGGAGGCACCACCCAGATGGCAAAAGGGATCCCTGGAAAAGACCCGATCCATGGTACTGACCATCAGAGCGAGCCAGAGCGCCGAGCAGACCCAGGGCTGCCACACATCCAGGCTCCCATTCATTCTCCAGCTGCGACTGAAGAAACAGGATGGTTTCCTCTGGACACATTCGGGCTGCAGGGAGGAAATCCCGCACTGTGTTAGCAAGCAACTCGTGCCCCTTCCTGAGGTCTGCGAGACAGCTTTTGGCCAGGGCACCGCCAAGCACCGCCAAAACTCCTCTCCTTACCCTGCAGCAGGATGCAGTGGGTCAGCTCTGCGCTATCAGCCTCGCTGTGCTGCTTGGTGTCGTCAGAGAGCTGTGGGAGCAAGGTCCATTTGAGAAAATCACAACAGCACTGAGGACGGAAAAGAAGCTGTGCTGCCCAGCTTTCCTCTTCCTTGGCACTCTTGGGAAGAGGACATGCAGACAAAACCCAGCCTGCCCCCCAGCATCCCTGGGGGGAGGCAAACACACGGCTCTGCAGCAGCCTTGGGCATGCAGGAGATAGGGCTGAGCAGCCGTCAGAGGCTCAGAGACTTGCAGTCCTCCTGAGACTTAGCCAAGGGGAAAACTGTGTGGGCACAAGGATAGGCTCCCCTTACCTGGTAGAACACAGCACTGGTGATGGCCAGAAACTTGTCCCTGGGGATGACACACTGAACTCCCTCTAAGACCTCCAGGAAGGTAGTGAGGCTCTGCAAGAGACCAGGAAGGAAGGAAGGGCTGAAGCCACATCTAGCCACCTGGGAGCAGAAAAACTTTTCCCAATGGTTTGTCTGCTGGGAAAAGCTCCTGTACAGGTGTTCTTGTTTGTCCCCCCCTCCCAGCAGCACCAAGAGAGTGCAGTAGACCATGTCTACACTGAGCCCTGCACAGCATCTCACCTTGGCCACCCTGCAGGTGTCTTGGATCTCCTGACATGGGTGCATGAGCCAGAGGAACTGCTTCCAGATGTGCAGCTCCTCTTGCAGGAGGACAGCCATCATGGAAGCCACAGCCCCAAGGACAGCCTGTTTGTCCTGGAGAGAGATGGCAGAGGCCTAGCATCAAAGACTGAATGTCTGCCCTTCCTACAGAGAGGGCTTTCTCTTTTCTTTTCCCCTTCCCCATGCCCCTCTACCCAGCAGGAGATGGGCTCTCTCTGGAGGGCAGGGAGGTTTTCCCCACACCCTCATCCCCACCTCTCCCTGCCACAGTGCTGTGACATGCGGCTGCTTCCTGGCAGGGAGATCCAGCCCCGAGCACAGAGCCAGTTTGGGGCCCTTTGCACAGCCAGCCCACTCCTTCTCATCACCCCTCTGCTCTCAGCCTGCTGGGCACAGAAGGAGCTGCTGCCAGGCCGGCTTGGGAATGCAGCAGTGCTCACCTCTTCCTCCTTGCTGTCCTGCCAGTGCCTGACCACGGAGAAGAAGAGCTGGTGAAGATTCTCATAGATTCGCTCTTTCTCCACGGCACGCCAGGGGCATTGCTTTCCAGAGGACAAGTGAACCTTGATTCCATCTGACCATTGCTTCACAACTGAAAAAACAAAACAGAACCAAAAAATAAATGAAGAATTAATTAATTTTGTAAAAAATCTAACCAAAAAATCAAAGACAAGGGAAAAGGCAGCTTGTGAGTCTGCAGCAGGGCGAGGTGCAAGGGCTGTCCCGATCCGCCCTGCTCTGGGGCCAACACTCACCAGCACAAGCGATGCGCAGCATCTGGCCGCTCCTCACCTGGTCCACCACACTGCGTAGGCTGGCCAGCGTCAGCCACACAAAGGGGATGCACTGTGGAGCTGCAGAGGGGAAAGAGAGGGCCATGGTCAGAGCTCCAGCAGCGAGGGAGGAGGGGCTGCAGCCCTGCATCCCCCAGCTCAATGCAGATGACGCGCAGAGGGGAGAGACCGCTTTCCCCCATTGGCACAGACTTCAGGAGGCTGAGGGGCTCTACCGTAGGTGCTGAACAGTTTGCTCAAGGTGATGAGCACCAACTCCTTGGTCATCTCCCCCGCAGCCTTGAGGTGGCCCTGGAGCTCGGCCATCACCAAGCTGAAGTGCGTCCTGGCCAGAGCCACCAGGACATTGCTGGCAGCCAACCTCACGTTGTCTGTCACGTCCTGAAAAAGAGTCACTGGTGACACGCGGCACAGGACACCTCCTAAGGCCTTCCCTCGGCAGGGCGAAGCCACCGCCGTCCGCCAGCAGAATAGCAGCGCAGGCAGGCAGCTCCCTTTGCCTTTGGCAGTGACCCCTCACCTGGGCAGCCGTCAGGTCCTGGGACACCTCTGCCAGCAGCCTGTTCACCAGTCCGCATGGCAGGCGGCTGTCATCTTCACACAGGACGCTCTCCAGCTCACGGTACACCTGCGCTCGGACACCCTGGGGACAGGGACCAATCATGCTGGCTTCGCCCTTGTTCCCAGGGAGCAGCCCGCTGCCACCCATCGCTATGCGGGTGTGCTGCCGGGGCCTGGCACCCAAGGGACCGTGGCACTGGGCCAGGGCAAGGATTGATGGTTGCACGTCCCCAGCTCACCTCCTGGTCTTGCAGGCGCTGCAGCAGCAAAGTCGCGGCACAGGCAGGGACAGGACTTGACACCCTGCCGCTCTCCCTGCGACGCGTCCGTCTGGGCACGCAGCCCACACAGGCAAAGAGACCTGGAAGGAAAGAGCAGAGCAGCTGCCGCTGGTGTTGCTTGGAGCCAGGGCCGAGCATCTGGCCAGCTCTGGCAGGAGCGTTCCTCCAGCCCCACAGCACAGGTGGGCTGCACTGGCACATGTTTGGTTGGTGGGGAGAGGGGAGAAAGCCTTCCCCTTGCTGGGGTCCTGGGGAAACCATGCCAGGCAGCTGCACTCAGCAGAGCAAGGACAGTGCTGCTGGCACGTCCTGAACCGGCACTGCAGGCACACATGTGCTCGGGCAGCGTCACGGTGTCCAAGAGGTGGAGGGAGCTCACCTCGAAGGGCTCTCAGCCGCTCCATCATTGCAGGATATCTCCAGATAGGCACAACGCTCTCTCTGGTCCGCTTCCCGCACGTCCCACAAGAGACTGAGCCACCGCTCCCACCACAGGGGTGTGAGAACCAACAACTGTGACATCACACTGCGAAATGTCATCTCACAGAGAATGACACGCCCTGGGCTGGGGACCAGACAGCATGCAGGGCAAGCTTGCAGGCCCCAAAACATAGAACGTTTCTGTGAGGCACTCGGCTCTGGGATGGACACGTTCCAATACAGTCATTAAAGTTAATAAGTTCAATAAACAGTTTCCTCTCAACTCAGTACAAACACACTTTGGAGTCTTTTTGGAGAAATACATGTTCCCCATGAATATAAACAAGACAGCACAGCCATCAGATCTAGAAAATTGACAGAGTTTTTTGCTCAAAAAGTATTTTTTACCTTTGGGATGAAAATTCAATTGCCACATCCACCTTATCTATCTTGAATACTTTGTCTGCATCCATTGCATCCATTACATCCAGCTTCTTACTGAATATGGATTTTTATTGGCTAGAAAACCTTCTCCCAGGTGCAAGCATCATAAATAATAGCCTGCAGGGCAAGCTTGCAGGCCCCAAAACACAGCATGTTTTTGTGAGGCATTTGGCTCTGGGGTGGACACATTCTGTGCCAAAGCAGGGAATCACCTCAGCGGGTGAGGGAGAGCCCCTGTTTGGGAGAAGCTGCTGGGAGCCAGTGCCCGGCATTCTCTTAGTGACTGGGGACTCCATGCTGGGAGGCACCGAGGCCCCCATTTGCTGCCCTGACAACCTTTCCAGAAGCTTTTCTGTCTTCTGGGGCATGCGTCAGGGACATAAAGGAGACTCCACAGCATCTGATCAAGCAAGAAGACCACCATGCGACTGTTATCATTCGAGTAGGGGCATGGGAGGTTGCCACGAGGAAATGGCAGAACATCCAAAAGGGGCTTTGCCTCCCTTGGAAAGATGCTAAAGGGGTTGGCAGAGACCTCACTGTGGCCTTCCAGTACTTGAAGGAAGCATATAAATGGGAGGGGTAACGATTGTTTTCAGGGGTTGATAGTGATAGGACAAGGGAGAATGATCTTAAACTGAGGCAGGGGAGGTTTAGGTTGTAGATATTAGGAGGCAGTTTTTTTCACAGAGGGTGGTGACGCACTGCAAAAGGTTGACTAAGGAGGCTGTGGATGCCTCCTCCCTGGAGGCATTCAAGGCCAGGCTGGATGTGGCTCTGGGCAGCCTGGTCTGGTGGTTGGCAACCCTGCACATAGCAGGGGAGCTGAAACTAGATGATTTTTGAGGTCCTTTTCAACCCAGACCATTCTACGATTTTAAGAAAACTAAAAATTAAAAACTAGCAATTTTTCACCATCATCAACTACACAGTTACTTAACTCACTGAGAGTTCTTGTCTCTGTTTAACAGAAAAAATGACCCCGTAAAGGATTTTTCTCCTCTGATTTTCTACGAATCTGTGATGATATCAGCAGTGCCCAGCAAGGACAGTTCTAAGTGCTTTGAAATTGGTTTGACTTTCAATCAGCTTAAAAGGGCCTCAGTTATGCCCTTTTGCTCTTATTTTTGAGGTAGTCTTCATTTAAATTATGGAAGCGTGAAGACAACAGCAGGGAGATATGTTCCTGGTGAATTTTAATCATGGCAAATCTTTCCTAAAAATTTGAATTAATTGTTATTAATGAAAGCTCTCAAAAATACAATTATTTAATTGATTAATAGGAATACATTTACAGGGTCTATTTGAGACAATGATAGAACCATTCACAGTGACATTTTAATCTATGATAAAACCCAAAGACTTAATTCTAGGTGTATTTGTGGCTGGAGTCACAAAGTCGTATGAACAAAAGATACAAGACCTAGCCCATAATTATTCATTAATTTTGTCCATGGTAAAACATAGCAAACAGGAAAGTTCAGTACTGTCACAGTCTATGTGGTATCATGCCAATATCTATCGTACTGCAACCAGTACAGTATAGTTGAGAGAAATGTTGAGCAATGAAGAAAATTTTGCATCAAGTAGATGCAAATTTTCCTAGCATGTTAAAGATGTGTTTTACAAGAAATCCTGGAAGCCTGATTTGATGTTAGTCTCATACAGATAAATATCAACCCATATTCCAGCGATACTCAAAATCAATCAGTGTTCTGCTTAGTAACGCATGACCCAAAGAGTTCTAAAAGTCAGTGCAAAATATATAGGTCCTTTCACCAGCGTAGATCAGAGTCTGAATTTCCTCTTCAGAGGAAGAAGAGTGTAGAGAAATTCTATAACAGGAAAACCCTTGTATCCTTCCTCAGACCATCCGACACATTGCGCTGGGGAAGAATAACAAATTTGCAGGTTGGATAAGTGCGTATATATGATAGAACTTACATATACACATATGCAAACACAAACAACATATGCAATGGACTAATGGACTGTGCTAATCTAATATCTTCTGGATTATTCACTTGAAGATCATTGACTTTATATATATTCACTTGCTTAGCAGATCCCCCATCTGGTAGTAAAGGCTTCTCTAATTTGTGAATTTATAGTATTATGTACACAAACTCAAATGCTGTATTGTACATGATAATAGAAAATTGTAACATTTTGCTTACTGGATTGTAGTAGTACTTTTATTTCTGCCCAAGATATTTAAAAGAACAAAGGACTATTTTTGAGGTTCTGCATATTTTTTTGCAAAAGTTACATATTTTCCAGTCATTACTATGCCTGGAGTATTACTTTCGGATATTGAAGAGAAGGAGCACTGGTTTTTAACAGGCTTTGCATTACTCTTTCTTTTGTGGCATCTTTTCTATTTTTCATGTTGTCTCCATGGGACCTTTCATAACGCTAAAACTGTTCAGAATGTTTTCCAACAGCTTTATGTTTAAGCATTATAAAATGTCTTTCTAGATGGGTGGCAACCTGGATTCTTTCTTTTCTTCTCAAGCATTATCACCAGTAATGAAGGCTATGTTAAATAAATTCCATTTTGGGGTATCTTGCAGCCTCTCTCTCTTTTGTGCATGAGTTGCTGCATTTTACATAATTGGCTTTTCAGTTCATGGTAAACAAGAAAGAGAAGAATTTACTCACATCTCTCTCTCTTGTTTGAACAGACTCTTAATATGGCTGAAGATCTGCTGTGTGTATAGGTGTGATAGCAACTCTATTTGCCTTCTGTCCCTCATTAATGCTAAAACACACGGCAGGTTTTTGTCCCTGCAAAAGTAGTCCAAAAGCATTATATATATATTGAAGCTTCATGACTACTGCACCTAATACTCTGATAAATATGTGTTTATAGGCACCAGACAACTTTCAGTGCTTACAGTAAATATTGTAAATTGTAAAAAGCATTTAAACTGAATCCTTTACATCTGTGAATGCTATGAAAGATTGAAGGTAAATTTTAAATAAAAGCTGTTATACAATAAACCTAGTGATGTTTCCCATACAAGTCTCTATTTTCTTGCTGTGATACATGTTCAAACGCAAAAGCTTCAGCCTTTATGCCTTTACATTTAGGACAGATACGTAAATATATTATTCTTGTCTTCTTCCAAAGTGAATGACTCAGTATTTATATCCCTATGTGATGCATAATATATGTTCATTTTGCATCCTTTTGTCACTGCAAATCTTTTTATGAAGATTTTGCTTTCAAGTAGGAGCACAACTGGAGATTTGCAAAACCAAACCATGGTTTAACATTGGTCAAGCTACTCTAGAAGAGAGGGCAGATATGGAGGAGAGATCATGCCAACCCAGAAGAAAGAGCCACACAGAAATGTATGGGGCCCTTGGCTAACTAGCCTGCATAGATGTGGAGACCGAGCTGCTATTTCTACTAAATGTTCGTGATTATGTTCGGCTGTATTTTTGTATGGATTGGTCTAAGAAACTTATTTGTCCTTTTTTAAAAGACAAAATATCTCAATAAAGCAGAGGCCCTATATGGGCCAAAAGAATAAAATTCCTCACATCCATCACAGATTTTGTATGTTCAGCGTGTAAACCATAAAGTGGCACTGATAGAACCAGTCTGGTATTTATTAGATTTTCTTTGTTCTTCTGAAGGGAAAAATGCTAAAGATGCAAAAATGTGCACTTCTGAAATACCACACAGATGCTAGGTCACATTTGGCAATGGGATAATCCCACTAATTTTTCTAACAAGGAATTTGGTTCCCCAAAAAGAAGAGACAACACTAAACGATCTGTCTACTCTCTGGAGATGAGAGAACCTCTGGCACTGACATAAAGTGGTACCATACACAGAAAGCCACATCTTCCTGGCTTCCCAGCCCACACTCCTTTTGTGAAGGTACACAGATTGATAAAGGTTTTATTTATTAATAATAATTGCCTAAAAATAGACATACAACAAAATCATTCATCTGTAAAAACCAGAATGTCCTAGGAATAGGAGAAGAAGGAAGGAAGTTAATAATGAAAAAGAGAAGGCAAAGAACTGAGCACAAGGAGTGGCCAAGCTCAATATATCTAGAAGATCAGATTGTAAGTTAAGAAAGAAGAAAGGATCCAATTACTGGATCAAAGACTAAAAAACTCTGGCAATAAATTAAAGTGATGACAAAGAATAAAAAATTGCAGTGGTGTTAATCATATGCAGTTATGCGAAGTTCGTAGAATCATAGATTGCATTAACATGGTCAGAGCTGTGCACTAATTAGTGAAGTGGAATAGAACTGGACAGTCTTGCAGGAACCAGGAGACAGTACACCGATGTTGGTAAAACATATACAAGAATGATTTTTCCTGCAGTTTTACTTTATTGTATGGGTACTGATCATGACTGAATGCGGTTGTCTATATCAAATTGATTAGCAGTGCTTTGCTGATCTTTTCTTCTCTAACCTCAGACTACTTAACTTCGTATTGGACAATAATTCATTCCCTCTACATCATATCATCCTCCTGCTGACAAGGTCCAAGTTA